AGTAGCGGCGAGACTGTCCGACACACGCTCACCTCAGTGGAAAATGTTATAATCCCATGAACCTCGGAAGAGCTCTGTTGTCATGTCAGGATCATCCCGTCTCTCACAGAACTGGGCTTCTCTCACAGAACTGGTTGAACTGTGTAGTTTACAGATCTCGAGCAGAACCAGAACTAGAACTAGAACTAGAACTAGAACTGAGTAAACCAGGAAGTACTGACATTTTAAAGAGCTGTTTCCCGGTTCACTTTTGGGAGTATTACCATTGGTCAGAACCGACCAGACGGGGTGTGTTTTGTGACGTAAGAGGTTAGAAGACAGCAAGAATTGTTATGGAAAGATCAGAAATGTTCTCACAGACAGAGAGAGTTTTGTTTTGGCGCGTTTCAGAAACAGGTGCCAAAAACCTCTATATTTATGTCTGAGAGGATTCTAAAAACATGCCAACAACTTGTTTTGCGTTTGACTCCAACCTTGGACCAACTTACACTTGCTCATTCAAAAGCAGAAATCAGAAAAGGCATAATTACTCTGTAACAGCTTTGACATGAGTTCTAACTTTGCGTGAGAAAAATCATTACACAGTTAATAAAATTGATTAGTTCACTGCAACATCTAAAATGGTTTGAACTAAGACACTTTGATTATCAACATTTGTAAAATAGTAATGATAATAAAACAGAGAGTGTTCTTTTCACTTGAATCTTCAAGAGAGAAAGTCTCAGAATGGGTGAACCTGCATTTCTGGATTCAAATCAATGAAATGACAGTTCCTGTCCCACAAGGTTCTTAAGGTCAAGATTTTTGACCTTAGACTTAGTTTTTGACATGGGCCTAGTCCACTACACCGTTGTATCATGTAATAGGTAAACGTGGCTATAATGACAAATTCAAAAAAGTTCGACAAAAACAACTGGACTTTATTTATTATACGGTATTGCTTTTTTTCTTGAACTTTTTTGAATTGACAAAGTCTTGGATGACTGAGCATCTTCACCAGCAATTAATGACTCAATCGGCCTGCTTTAATCTACCCACCTTCATTATGCTCGCTGCTTGGAACTGTCAAACAAGCTGCACCGCCCCAGAGAAATGCAGCTAATTTGACCATTAAAGTACATTTATCAAGTAAATGTCAGACTAAGACACACCTTTGCTATAATTTCAAGCAAACAAATAATTGTTTTTAAGTGTTAATCTTGTTAAATTCTTGTTAAAGTCCTCCCGTGCATGCTCCTGCGGACACCATTTGGCAGCCCATCAATTTTTGGCATAACACCGGCCCACATTTCCAGGTTCAGCCCACATTTCCAGGTTGTCAGAGGTGACGCATAATAAATGCAATGTATACGGCAAAGCAACATATTTATGAATTTTTCCACTTTATTAGACAAATATGGACTGATGCGACTTATAGGGCAGTGCAATGTGTACGGCGGAAAATATGGTAATTCTGGTTGTGCTTACTGACCTTGAGACGATTTTATGTAGTACACGGTGCTCAAAAATCTGTCAAAATGAACTTCTTTCGATTATTGCGCCTTATAATCCGGTGCACCTTATAGTCTGAAAAATATGGTAATTAGCAAAACAATTGCTGAGGGTTAAATAAACTAGTACCAAAAAGGCCAAGTTGACAAAGCAGTAAATGTTTTAAATTAGCGAACCCTACTGGAGACGGTTCTAAAACACGCTGCTGCATGAACGAGACAATATTCAAGTATTTAAGGCGTTTAAATGTACCTGAACATTTTGTGAAAGTATATTCCTTTAAAACTCATAATCGTCCATCAGGAGCAGCATGTGAAATAAAACAAGTTTCCGGTTCGAGTACAAAACCTTGAGGAACACCAGAAGTTACCAATACGGCATCATTTATGTTCAAAAGTCGGTGAAAGAATCATCTGTTTCATTTTTGGTCCTTTAATACCAACAGGTGTTGGCCAGTTTGATTCTCTACCATAGTGTACCCCCATTTTGGTACCAGAAGCTGCCATTTTGTACTTCTACTCTAGTGTATCCTAGCAGTAGTACTACTCTACCGAGCTAAAAATGAAAAAAATAAGTTGAAGTATTGGCGTAAACTATAATTGGTAAAGGTGTAGCTTAAAAACTAAAATTAGGAAACCGGTATTTAAAAGCTGAAAGTGGTAAAATGGTAGCTAAAAGCTAAAATCAGCTAAACTGGAAGGTACAAATAAGTAAAATTGTACCTAAAGCTTAAAGTAAATCTATAACTAAAAGCTGAAGTAAGCCAAACCATTCCAACTTTTGAAGTTTTGTTGGAATAAGGGCAAAAAAAAGGTTAAAAAGTAAGTGGTACAAATAAGAAACAGCTGCAGGAGCATTTTACCACTAATGAGGTCAATTAGCAACGCGACAAAAAGACGACTGGACATTCAAATAACATTTTTCAGAGGCTAAATCTCTTAGAAGTAAAGATGAGCAGAGGTTCACCAGTCTGCCTAGAACTGTCTAAAAATAATGGAACAATTTCAGAATAAAGTTCTTCAACACTTTAACTATCCCTTCATCTGCAGCTCATAATCTCATCAACAGATTAGAAGAATCTGTAAAAATCTCTGAATTCAAAGGACGAGGCTGAAGGTCAGTACTGGATGGTCTGGCCCATAGGGGCCACTGCATTAAAACCAGGTCTGGTTCTGTTCTGGACATCACTGCATGGGCTCAGGAACACTTCCACAGAAAAACCCAGTTCATCCACAAATTAAAGCTCTACCAGGCAAAGAAGAAGCCAGATGTGGACCATCCAGAGCCGCTGCCATCTTCTCTGGACCAGAGCTCGTTTAAAAAGGACTGAGGCAAAGTGCACAACTGAAACCACAGAGACCACGCCCTCCTTACTGCAGCGGCCATCCAGCCTGTTGTCAGCACACAGTTCAAAAGCCAGCCTCTCTGTTAGTATAGGGGTTCATTAGTGCCTCTATGAGCAGCTCACTCATTTGAAAGGCTCCTTTAATGCAAATCAGTCTCTACAAATAAAAAAAAGCTGCTCCCATCCAGCAAAGATATAGAACAGCTAGAATCTTCTATCGGACCAGAACGGGACAACAATCCCCTCAAAGCCACAGAAACTGGTCCCATCCAGATCCTTGTGTTTCTACAAGACCAAGTCCAACATGACTGTTAGGCTTTAGAGATGACCATCAAACACTAGCTGGAACTACGTGAGTTTATTTGTCTTTATGTCTCATCGCTGACTTGATTTATTGGTTGGTTTAAAACAACTTGTTTACACGAGTGATTCAGAAGCCAAACGTGACATTTCTCATTCCCTCTGAGCGATGAAAATGCAAATCCTTCGACGTCTCAACATTTAAAGTCACGGGCCGACTCGCTTGAACTCCCGTGGATCTTAAATGTTTTCCCGCGGTTCGTTTCTCCGCGGCTGCAGCTGAACTCGGACTCGTTCGGAGTCTTGGTGTGAAGCTCGGGTCTCGTCTTCAACAGACGCTTCAACGATGCCGAACTGTCCGGATGAAACTTACCGCTGTGATCGACGGCAGCTGCAGACATGGAGCCGTTTCAGTTATGACCATTTTTAACTTGTCTTTTTTTTTTTTTTCCCTTTCCTGAAAAGACTCTGCAGGTGCGAGAAACGTGGCAACACGAAGGAACCGCTAAAATGTGATTTCTAATCAGGCGTGAAAGAGACGCCTCGTGTTGCTGCTTGAGTCTCATGGAATCACCTAATGGCTCAAATTATGATAAATAATCTGTAAACCAGCACTTGGCTCATTCTCCAGGCAGAAATCAGGTCGGATGAAACAAGGTCTCATTTAATCTGCTAAAACTGCGCATCGTGGTGCAGTGGTTAGATGGGAGATGTTGCCTCCTGGCTGGGGGCCTTTCTGGGCTGAGTTTGCACTCTCACTCACATCTAGGGACAATTCAGAGTTACCAGTCAACCTAACATGCATGTTTTTGGTCTGTGGGAGGAAACCGGAGTGCACGGAGAGAACATGCAAACTCCACCCAGAAAGGCCCCCGGCCTGGATTGGAACTGGGGTGACCTGCTCGCTGAGAGGTAGCTGGTCTACCAACTGGTCCACCGTGCTGCCCCATACTGCAGTCTATTTCTGCTTCTTCTTCTTCTTCTTTCGGCTTTTCCCTCTTCAGGGGTCTCCACAGTCAGTCATCCTCCTCCATCTCACTCTGTCCTCACTCCAACTACCTCCATGTCCTCTCTAACTGCATCCATAGATCTCCTCTTTGTCTTTTTCCTGACAGCTGCATTTCTAACACCCTTCTACCAGTATACCCACTGTCCCTCCTCTGGACATGTCCAAACCATCTCAATCTGGTCTCTCTAACTTTATCTCCCAGTTGTTCAACCTGTGCTGTACCTCTGATGATCTCGTTCCTGATCTTCTCCATCCTTGTCCTTGCAGTATGCCTCATACGGCAATAATTCTCAATTTACAAAAAAGTATAATGTCAGAAACTAAGAAGCCACCATAGCCAATCAGTGTGTATACAAGTGTACACTGAGAATGGACTCAGTGATACATGAACACATTAAAATCTCTGAAAAATATTTGTTTAGTCAGTAGATCAGTGTTCACATTCTGAGTTTTCCCCGTTTGGAAAATGTCATTTATTTTCCAGAACAGGAACAGGAAGTGTCTTTGAAGCTAAAAACTCAAGGAACATGAACATTCATGTGTTGACCAGAAGTGTCTGTTTCCTACAGTTCAACACACCTTATGGTGTGAGGCTTGCTTTCTAGTCTGCGTTTCAGTCTGCCTGGTTAGTCAGATTACGGTAAGGGAGTGAGAGGTGTGTGGTTACCATGGTAACTCATATGAGTCTAACTTTACTCTTCTACAGTTCATACATAAAATTGCCAGCTACTTTCCTTAGATTTTAACAAAATAAAAGCCTCACACTACGGTGAGGTCTTAGGAGAAGAAAGCGGATGGATGTTGGAGTATAGACTACCGTGGTCCATGTTTTAGCGAGGATCTGTCCGTACTCACAGATGTTAGCGGTGCCTTTGGGGATGGGCAGGTAGGAACCGGCGCTCCACGTTCGGCCCTGGTAGTTCCTCTTGCAGCGCCCGCAGTCGGGCCCGGTGGTGTTGTGTTCGCACTCGCAGCTCAGCTTCTCCTTGTCGTACACGCAGCTGTTGGCGTGGAGATTGCACTTGCACCTGTCAAAGGGAAAGGGAGCGAGCGATGAAAGAGCACATCTACGTAAACACAGGGGAAGCTTGCACACGGGATGCGTTTATTCTCATCGGACGCTGCGGCCGAAAGGCAAATTACGTTTGTAAAGTTACACAGTCAAAAACTTAACAGCAATATTTTGATTTATTTTTCTTAATTCATAAGAAAAAAAAAATTCAAAGTCATATTTTCGTCATGCTATTCATACATTTATAAATGTCATAGTTTCAAACTAAATATTTAATTTACAAGCTAAATATTTAGTTCCACCCTAAATATTTAGTTTACAAACAAAATGTTTATGTCCAAGCTAAATGTTTAATTTACAAATTAAATATTTAACATGAAAGTTAAATATTTAGTTAGCAAATTAAATATTTATTTTAGAAATTAAATGTTTAGTTGGAAGAAAAAATATTTAGTTCTGAGCTAAATATTTAGTTAGCAAATTAAATATTTAGTTTAGGAATTAAATGTTTAGCCTAGAAATTAAATATTTAGTTAACAAATTAAACATTTATTTAGGAAATTAAACGTTTAGTGTGGATAATAAATATTTAGTTTTGAGCTAAATATTTAGTTAGCAATTTTGGAAATTAAATGCCTAGCTTGGAAAATAAATATTTAGGTCTTGGCTAAATATTTAGTTAGCAAATTAAATATTTAGTTTAGGAATTAAATGTTTAGCTTAGAAACGAAACATTTATCTTGGACATAAACATTTAGTTTGTAAACTAAATATTTAGTGTGGAGCTAAATATTTAGCTTGCTAACTAAATATTTAAATTGAACGTTAAATATTTAGCTTGTAAATTAAATATTGTCTTTGGAACTATGACATGTATAATTGTATGAATGACACTGTGAAAATATAACTAGTTTTTTTTTCTTATGAAAGGCTAGATAAACCAAAATATTGCTGCTAACTGTTGACTGTGTAACTTTACAAACGCCCCCCCCCCCCCCCCCCCCCCCCCCCCCCCCCCCCCCCCCCGTAAAAGGCGGCGTGTCCTTGACGAGAAGTGGCACCGCAACACACGGCAGCTACTTCAAGAGCTGCGAGCTCAAAGGAGACGCCAACACTTCTAACACGCTTATTACTTCCCACAGCTCAGTTTTAATTGTCCCACAGGAGGACGAGTAGCTGTCTCAGTCGACAGACGAGGGAGGGAGATGGAGACGTAAGAGGTGGAGGGTGTAGAAGGTGCTTTATGAAACATTTGGAGAATGAAGGCTTATAGCTCCGCCAGCTGATGAAGAGCTCGGAGTTAGCCAGAGGGTAGCAGCAGCACCTTCCCCGTGACAAATTAATACGAGATGGGATCTCAGAGTTGCAGCTGGGAAACAAAGACTCCCTTAAGGTGCACTAAATCCCCCCAACAGAGACTCCGCTTAACAAGAAACTCAGCAAATTTGTTTCTCGCCGTGACTCGATGAGTTGGAGGGGGTGAGAAAATACCGGGGCTGTAGGTAGATGGGGACATGACTGAGCGTCGCACATCGAGGTTCAAAATAGCCTCAAGTTTTTGTAACATTAGAACCAGGAGAGGTTTTTATTTTGTATCTGTGATGAACTCTTTTTTTTTTTTTCTGTGTGTGCAGTGTTTTTATTTGCTATCCAACATTATTCACCGCCTCATAATCAGAGCTGATTTTTCCACTCGTTTGTTAATATTAAAAAAAGAGTCTTCTGAGAGTTCTAGCGTATCGTGTCTTTTTATAGCACGTTAAATTTCTGTAAGAGGGGCTTGTGTGGAGCACTCATGAGCAGTCAGCGTCTTATCTGCATTAGGTAACAGAGCTCTATCACTATAGTCAAGCTGAGAGCCCACTGGATGACGTGGGACCATTTCCAACATTTAAAACGACTGAAATATAATAAAATATATTAAAAAATCTATATTATAATGTTTACATTGCAACACATTTACACTTTTTTTTCATTCATTCAACCTTTATTTATACAGGTTAATCCCACTGAGCCTCGGGGACTCGACCTGATTTTAAGAGAGTGATAATCACAGTGGATGACAAAAGACAACAATAGACAATAATAAAGGAAGCATAGAAATTGAGAAGAACAAGTGAAAAAAAAGGTATTAAAAATGGCCGCCACAGCTGATCAATCCCAGCAAACACAAAAATAACAATAACTAAACACAAATTTATAAATACTGAGCTAAAAAATTGTGTAATAATAGCTGAGACTCATCCCCAAAACATAATCTGAGCATTAACTTGTTGTGTTAAATCTGTTAAAACCTCACCATTAATGAATGGAGTCAAAGTTTTGTGTGCGTTAGCAAAATATTTCATGAATCAGCAGATTTTTTTCTTCACTGGCCCTGGAACGAGGCGCACGCTTTCTCTTCCCTCCCGAAATTGCACATAATTGGATTTATGATAACACGTTTCCTGTTTTTGGAATCGTTTGGTTCCTGGTTTATCAACGTACAAAGAAAATGGCCGCAGCTAATATGACCCTCGTCAGGCTGCTGCCTATGTGAAGGTTTGGTTTGTGCTTTGAGGACTCAAAATCAGCTGATTTACGAGCTAAACCGTAAGATGGAAGTGATTTGAATCGCAGGCCATCTGTGGTTTTGGGACTCATCAGCATGAAAACGACCTTGAAGAGGCTCGTAAGCACGGACCAGTAGAATGCACCCTAATCTGACCATTTCAGATCAGTACAGAATCAAGGCTGACAAGAAAAAATAGTCTGCCTGAATCAATCAACAATTGTGGATTCTCTGAATCTGACTCCCCTAGTTGGTTTCAAAACAGGCCGACTTATCAATTTCTCCTGGGAAATGTGTAAACTAAGAAAAAGCTTCGTCTATCGCAACCCCTCCTCCCCCCCAACTTCTGTGGAGGCTCATCAGAACTGTGCCGACTGACCATCATCTCATCTTATCAGGACAATGGACTATCTGTTAGTGCTTCATGGACCACCTCGTCGTCAAATGCATATGTAACATGTTCGTGTCCTGTTAGGACAAGGTATGAAGAGATGTTTTTGTAATGCCACTACCCTCTCCTCATGGCTTTGTCCCTTTTTCTATGTAAAAAAAAAAAAAAGTATTCTGTAAAAGATAAGAAGACTGCACTATCACAGCAGCAGATACGTGCACTCCGCCCATCTTTCGGACGACTGTACGGACATATTCTCGTTGTATCTCAGGACAGTGATGATAAAGTTTATTCTGATTCTGAGACATAATTTAATGAAACCGTCAGAACATAACCTATAACTGATTTGGATTAAACCGGATTCAAGATGGCCGCAACAGCCAAGAGACCTTAAGAAAACAAAAATGGCTATAATTCAGTCGATGTTACACTCGGCTAAAATTTGGTGTGGTGGTAGCTGAGACTGATCCACGACTGATGTTTAGAGCTCTAACAAATCAAGCTAAATTAATGTCTAAAGCTTTTGGCATCTATATGGAGGGTGGAATGTGACAAAATTAAATACATAATAATTAAATGTATCATTTAATGATTCAATACACCACTAAATCATTAAATATACAGTTAAATTATTAAATACACAATTAATTAATTAATTAATTAATTAAATGTCCCATTAAATAAATAAATGTACCCTTTTTAAATAGTGGTATTAAATAATTAAATGTCATTTTCAAGAATTTTTATAGTATTTAAAAATACATTTAATTACGTCACTGTGTATTTCACGGCTCTCGTGCAGCAAATAATTAAATACATTTAATTATTCTTTTAATTATTAATAATTAAGTGATACATTTAATTATTTAATGACATTTACATTTCTTATGCGATGTATTTATTTATTTAATTTTGTCACATTGCACCCTCCGTATTTCTTCATCGTTTGTGTAAATGTGTGTGAGAGAATTGAAAACCACTTCATGTGGACTCTTTGTGGTTTAACCTTCGGCAACGTTTTAATCAGCGTCCAGAAATGACGGCGCCAGCGGCGTAATGGTGGAGACCGCCAGTGAGGCCTGGGGGGTCTCCCGGTTCACGGTGGACCTCCTCGCCGCCTCACCCGTTTCCTTCGGGGGATTTTACCACAAATCCTCGTTCTCTTCAAAAGACCTGTGGTTTGTTGTCTCCCCACCTCTCATCAGTCCTCCTTCCATTAGTCCCGTCTTTTTAGACTCCGCCTCGGCATGTACCGTGGATGAATGTTCATGCTGCCGCCGCGTTGTGTTGTTTTGTTTGTTTGTTGTTGCACTGTGCTCTTTAAGTGATACTGCTCAGGACGTCGCTGATCAGCGTTTCCCTTATATTACTTGCCTTGGCAGGGTGCTCATCTCTTTGGTGATTTTTGTTGACAGGAGTGGGGGTGAGTTGGAGACAGTGGTGACCGAGACACGTCCATGTTGCATGCTGTTTGTACTGTCCATACAAACAGCAGGGGGTAGGGGTGGGGACTGAGTGTGAGAGAAACAGCTTTTTAGCTAATGCGTCTGTATTACACGCAGCTAAATTAGCACTACATCAGTGCTGGCAGTTGATGGGGGGTGGGGGGGTCAGTTCGGTAGGCAGGGTGCTCGGTTCTGTTGACGGGGCGAGGTGCCCTGCTTGCATAATGGTAGGGGAAAGACTGCATGTAGACTCGTTGGGCAAACTCCCATTACCCTTCAAGGACCCTAGTGAGGGTAAAGAGCAGGTCTAGTGTTCTATGGCTGGGAAGGAACCCACATTGTTCCTCTAACTCCAAGTTTCAAGAGCCGATCAGACTCTCTTCTTCAGCACCTCTGAATAGACTTGAGAGGGCGAGGAGTGCCAGTAGCACTGGTGCAACATTCAAAGGTGTATCAACCAAGATTTTAAAATATAATCTGAATTTGACAAATTAGCTTAAATTCAGAAACTCTCTAAACAACAAGGTGCACTTGAAAAGCTCAGGCATTTATCTCATCCCATTTTATCAATTGAAATAGCCATAAGCCACAATCGCCAGAAGCTTTTCCAACTATTGTTGATTTGTAGG